CGGTTGCATCCGGGAATGTGCCGAGATGTCAGTCAGTTAAGTAAGCACGTTATGCAAAGGATTTATTCAAACAAAGAGCAGACAGTCGCCCCCGCAGGCGACGGCTTTGTTGTTTTCAAATCAAGGACTGTTACGAGTCGTCTGTCGGCGGAGCATTCGTTGGAGCATCCTTGGCGCATCCTTGGAGCACCATGGCACCCACTTTCCACTCTTTCAACTCATTGTCAGAGTCAGAGATGCAACTTCAGGTACAGATACAGATACATTTATACAGATGCCTTTGCAAAGGCTCATCTCAATTATACAATACTCGTCCTTAGCTCTCTGGGCCCCAATTTTCCCCTATTTCTTTTTCTCTCTTTTCTCAGAGTTTTGTCCTTGACTGTATTCCAAATGTTATTTTGTTTGTTTGCCCTGTTATTGTTGATGATGTAATATTGCCGCAGGCTTCCGCCTCGCTCGTGGGTTTGCGCCGGATTAGTCATCCTGATATATCTCGTCGATGGCAGTCAGACATTTCTAATATTCGAATGGCGCCCCAAAAACAGTAGCCGAAAAGTTTCTCCTTGGAAAATTGAGAGAGGTTAGGTCAGGCAATTAGCATTCGGGGTGTGGGCAGGTACTGTGGGTGTTTGTGTGCCTAGTTGTGGATGGCTTGTGTCCCCGGGCGACGCCTCACAAACAATGCCTAAAAGGTTAATGTCCTTTGGCCCTCTTGGCTTTAGACTGCAGCCAACCCCTAAAAGCCTGGTCCGAAAAGTCGTTGTGACCAGAAAATGGCACTCATGCAATTTACCCAACCCATAGCCACCCCTTAGTTCCTTCTGCCTACTTTAATGCATTCAAATTGATAAGTATTCAGCGTTATTTCCCTCCTTTCCGCAAAACACGCATACGACACGATGTCGGCATGACTCATCCGTCGGATACGGAACTACCCAACTAGTGTTACTGTCGCACAGCACACAGAGAAAAATAAGCGAAGAAAACACTCTTGTAGAGTAGTAGAAAAATATAAAATACAAAAACAGATCGAAATATTTCAATGAGATAAAGTTTACATAAGTCTTTGTTATATACAAAAACTTTTCCTGTGCATACACTTTTCTATTTATTTTCCCTTCAAATATTTTCTCTGTGCATAAATTTTATTATTGTTTTTATTTGCCACTTATGTCAGAGGGCTGTTATTTTGCCCGCTAGGCCGTGTCCTGTTAACCAACCCCCAGTCATACATCCCCTGCTGCCGTCACATGTGATTATTTATAGCAGAGACCTTCTTAATTGATTACCATGCAGCTCAGTGGCTGCCCTCGCCCTCGAGTCAAGTCAAGACTTTAAAGAAAGCCCTATCAGAGCTTGAGTTTGGGCTGCCAAGGGAAAGAAAGTCCTTGGCTAATCCTGCAATTGTCAGCCAATGAACCCAATTTCAAAGTTGAGTTTCAGCTTGGAGCAGTTCCGACGTATTAAGTTAAGGCTGTGAAGTTGCTTGAATCTACCCACAAGATTCAGATGTCTTATTCGTCCTTCTAGACTCGCTTTTAAAGACCTTGCCTTATTAGAAATGATTTAATAGTAAAAGGCCGCAAACTCGTCAACAGGTTCCCTAACCAAATACCAATTAAGAGCAATCAACGCTTCGGCATTTATTTAGCTGCAGCTAGATGAGCCTGCTGATGCAAGATCTCGAGTGCCGAGTGTCGAGTGTTGAGTATCGAGTGGCATTGCGTGTGGTCAATTAATAAGCGAATGCTCTAATCGATCTGACTTGGTAGATCGCCAAGATCGCGATCGACCAAAGCCGCACAGACTCTGTGAATCGAACTGCTCCAGCTGCAAGCTGGCCAGATGGAAAGAAACAGCTTTTGGCATTTGCCGTAAATGGTTGCGAACAAGTTTTTTCAACACACACTGGTAATAATGCTTACAGTCAACGTAAAAAATGCACCAAAAAGATGATCACCGTTGGGTAATACACCAGGCAATCAGCTATGCAAGATGGCAAGCTCAAGAGTCATCTTCAAGCTTCAGGAGCATATTTGTAAATTTAATGTTGTTTAACTGAAACTATTAAACTTGAAAGGTCTGTCAATTGTAAATTATGGTAGAACATGAAGAGCGGACACTCTATTCCGTTTTAAGTACGACATGCGGCAGATGCAAGTTGTGCACCCGAAGCTGCAACGACGGCAGGATGCAGGACATTGACCTCTGCTGCGAAACAGGAATCGATTGAGGTCTTGGGGATTTGGCCGCAAAAGTAGGTCGCCAGCAACAATTCAATTATGAGCAAAAAATCACAATCGGCACCATGTCGCGTGTGTTTCGCGCGAAAGAAACCGAACCGGAAGAATGCTGACCATATGGAGCACATTTCGTATATGCCGTAAACCCCAGCTGTACTTGGCATATGGTCAGCTCGAGTGCTAATCGTGCCAGTACTACGTAGCACGTATTATACGCTTTAAGATGGAGTCTCAATACTTTGGGAACAACCTTATTGTGATTATTGCGATAATTATATATGGTGAACTATGTGAATATTCAATAGAACTAGAATCTTTAGTTGTAGAATCTTTGGCAACACTCAAGTAAATCCTGTTGAGCTGCCATTAGAATTATTGCTCTGCAAGAGTGCTCCAATTATCTTGGAGTATGAGCTTGTCCCCCTGCAAAGAGCTTTTCCATGTTGAAGCAAAATTGGACTTTGGTCGGAACCGAACTTCGTCCTTGGAGCAGCTGCCACTAATCAGAGCGGAATGCAGTTGAAAACTTGGCCAGTATCAGTAGGAAGAGAGAGAGAGAGAGAATGAGGGGGCTGTTAGCACAGGATAGTTTCTCCAAAGGGGACTGAAACAATAGAGCGACCTTCTGCCCTGGCAAACTCTATCAGCACAATTTCCACAGAAACATTATTAAATAAAGTAAATATTGACAGCAGGCGTAGCGTCGCAGTTGCGTTTAACGCGGCAAAGCACAAGAATTTGCTTACATCTGGGGTAGACTATACAATATCCTATGTTCATCATTGGGTTATAGGTTCTTGGGTAAACTGAAGCTTTTATTTCTGGTTCTCAGTTGGAAATTCTCTCTTTCATTTTGAATAAACTTAACTAAAGGCAGACCTTTCTTCATTATACATATATTGTTTACTAACCTCTGATTCAAATCTGGAACACATCTAGTTCAAAATGCCGATAATACACAATTTCTACTGTGAGAGGAGCAGCGCACAGGCAGTGACAGTTAGTTGGGCAGCACAAGATGCACTCGTGTGGGTGCCAAAAGGATGGGAAGGGGTAGCAGAGAAAGGTAGGGATAGAGAGACTGCAAGAGAGCGAAGGGGAAGGGGACAAGGTGAGAGCGGTGGCAATGAATACTCGTAAAATGAAAAACGCAATTAAGACAAACTGCAGCAGAGCGAACGACTTCGGTTGACTGCGCTGCTGCAGAGTTTTGTCATCTCTCCACTCATTTCCAAGCATCCATGGAAAGGGAAATGTGGAAAGAGGAATGGGAATGTACGAGGGCAAAGCATCTGCATAGAGGTTAAACAAGAATCACGAAGAAAGAGCAAAAGCAAAGAGTTATTCATTCTGATTTACAGAAAACAACAAATATATATTATTTATTCCAGCCATTTATGGCTTGAATTTCATTTCGATCTTTTCTGAATATTTTACAAATATTTTGAACAAACATGTGTTGTCAGATATTTAAGTACAGTGAATATACGTACATAGGTAGAGCTCAATTTAAATTTATAGAAGATTACTTTTAAATATTATTATAAAAGTATCTAAAAATTGATAGATAGATTCGAATGAAATCGGCATTTCTTGGGGAGCCCTGAAAAAGATATTAGTTAACAAAATGCCGACGAGACTTTCATGATCGTTAGATCAGACGCCAGGGTACCCCTTAGCGGCTGTCCACAGTGTGTTTATTTATTTGCACAGGATGTGAGTGAGTATTTGCGCTCGTAAACACACACATACATACTCATGGATCGCGGGTGTGCACGCGATTATCAAATTTATGGCTGATGTCAGCCAAGGGGGAAAGAGAAAGAAAGACAGCGACATGGAGCTATATATGTATAATACGTATAAATATATATATGTAGTATTGTTATTCGCTTTTTGCTTGGTTGCCAGTCGACATCGAAGTCCAATCTTTGAAAGCTGGAAAGTGAAGCTGCCCCAACCCCTTAAACCCTTAACCCCTTACACGACTCTCGATTCCCTGGCCAACGCTCCATGAAGTGTTTATCTAGCCACTAGATGTAACATGATTTATTGCCTCTCTCTTAGTCTGATTGTCGACATAAGTGGATCAGCGTTATAATGGGGCTACCACTACGGCGGTACTACAAGGTCTGCAGGGTGATATGCAGGGTGCCACCGCTGCATCCGTGTACAAGGCGCAACAGTCTCCGAAAAACAGAGTAAAACTGCGAACAGCAAAAACTCCTGGCACTTTTATCGATCCAACAAGAAAGCACCATTCAACCACCCACCCTTCGCGGTCCGGGCAGGATTACGTCGTTATGTGGCGCCGGGCTTGAAAACGCCAGCCAGGGATGGGTGGGTGGTCAGGGGCCAGGGGTCAGGGGTTACGGGGTAGCGGGATGAGTTTGGAGCATGCGCATTTAACATGCGCAGCGTCGTAATAGACACGAAAGCCCAAATACGCAAAACATCGCAGAATGCACTTTACATAACTATGGAATTGTTATTATTGCATGCGGCATCCTTACGCCAGGTTAATACTTTACCGGAAAATATACCAACAGATAAACTACAATACAAATCAATTTAATTAAATATTATAGTATTATCTGATAGAAGCACCTAGTTATTGACTACTTTTGGTTACCGAAATTAATATTGGATTTCTTGTTTTTATTATTTGGCAACGAAATTAGTTTCTTGGTTCCTTATATTATGCATTTGCTCTATGAGTAAAGTTAATAAGAAACTGAAAGTACATATACTCACTGGCATTCGTTCATGATCTCCTCCTGACTGCGCACTTGCACTGGAGCCAGCTCCTCAACGTTCTCCTCGTAGTTACCGAAACACTTGGTTATCTTCTCGTCGAACGTGTTGACTAGATCCTCTAAGCTTCCGCCGAAGGTTTCCGTAAAGTTGTCTACATGGTCGCCGACAGCGAGGGATCGCTTCTCCAGGCCATCCAGACCAGAGCCTGTCCCTTCACCCGGCACTAGTCCCACATCGGACAAGCCGAGATCTATGACCGATCCGCACTGCAGCGTGTTGCAATTGGGGCTTATGGAGCCAGCTCCTCCTACGCCTCCACCGTTCTTGCTCACGTGCGCATCACGAACAGCATCCTCTAGGAGCCGAAGCTTGGCCGCATCGGGCTTGCCGCCGGAAGAGGAGTCCTTCAGATTCAGGTTCAGCGTGTCGTTAAGGGCGTTCTGATTCGAGATGAAGTCACAGCCGCCCCACTCGTCCGTCTCCTCGAACTTCGCCAACGGAGCCTCAAATTTTAGCTCAGCCATTTTGGTGCCGAGGTCACGCATGGCACGCGAAAAGGATTCTCTCAAGGATTCGGCGGATTCCCCTTCCGATTCCGATTGGACTTTTTGGGGCAGTGTTTACTTGCGCGCTTCCCTTATATTTCACACAAACACTTTTCCTTTTCCACCGACTTTTTTTGGGATGGCTGCAAAAATTTTGCAACCCCTAATTCTTGTGATGGCTTTGGGCTGGGGGTTGAGCGGGGTTTTCAGCGGGGAAAATGCCCCGGAATACTTAACTCCGGAATTCAATTTCGGGCAACTCCAATTGGACTAATTCCACTCGCCCCACGCTTGACTTTCTGTCCGTCCGGTCTGCTCACGGGCACAATAAACACCAAACAATAAAAAAAAACAAATCACTAACACTGTCGCGGCTCGGCTGCTTATGTTTTGTTTTTATAATATATGTCTTAACTTTTAGCGACTGCGCTGCTCTCTTTCAAAATTTCGACTCAGCAAAAATACAGAGCTGGAAAAGTGTAACCAGATATCGCATTACACAAATGCTCTCATACAACTAAAAACGCACTTAAAAATCCGGTGGTTTAACAATCAGCTAAATTTAAAAGCAACAAATGGCAACGCCGGGAGCTTAGCCACGACACAAGCCAGTTTTAGTGCACAAATGATGTGTCTTAATAAGCAAATAATTACCTATTTTTGCCACTACCCGGTGGCAGCACCGTCGATAACTCCTTGTATAAAATCACTCACGTTATCGGTTAGTTCAATAAAACAAAAAATTAACAAATAAAACATAAAAATAAAAGCTTTACGTTGTGACTCGCACAACGTGGACTCTAGGCACGAATGGCCAGCCGTGGGGTTGGCGCCGCTGTGGTTCACACGACGGTGACAGCCACATCGCTGACGGTGGAGACCATCACCAATGTGCTGACCACAGTGACATCGCTCCACTCGAACAGCGTCAACATCTCTAACAACAATAGCAGCAGTGCTTCGGCCCCTGGGGCAGATGGAGTGGTCGGCGATGCAGGGGGTGTGGCAGCGGCCCAAACGGACGCCAACAAGCCGATATATCCACGTCTCTTTAACCGAATCGTATTGACGCTCGAAAACAGCTTAATTCCGGAAAGTAAGATCGATGAGACGCCATCCAGCCAGGACGGCCTGGACCATGAAACGGAGAAGGACCTGCGGATACTGGGTTGTGAGCTCATCCAGACGGCGGGTATCCTACTGCGCCTGCCGCAGGTTGCCATGGCCACCGGCCAGGTTCTCTTCCAACGCTTTTTCTACTCAAAGAGTTTTGTGCGACATAACATGGAGACAGTAGCAATGAGCTGCGTGTGCCTGGCTTCCAAGATCGAGGAGGCTCCGCGGCGTATCCGGGACGTAATTAATGTGTTTCACCACATTAAGCAAGTGCGGGCGCAAAAGTAAATGATTCTATTGACAATGCCATATATACAATAATCATTTCCTTCCATTTCCTCATTTCCTGCAGGGAAATCTCGCCTATGGTATTGGATCCTTACTACACGAACCTAAAGATGCAGGTGATCAAGGCCGAACGACGCGTTCTCAAGGAACTTGGCTTCTGCGTGCATGTGAAGCATCCGCATAAGCTTATCGTTATGTATCTACAGGTTTTACAGTATGAGAAGAACGAGAAATTGATGCAGCTCTCCTGGAACTTTATGAACGATTCGTTGAGGACGGACGTCTTTATGCGGTACACACCGGAGGCTATTGCCTGCGCCTGTATCTACCTGAGTGCCCGCAAGCTCAACATACCTTTACCCAATTGTCCGGCGTGGTTTGGCATTTTTCGCGTGCCCATGGCGGACATTACGGATATCTGCTACAGGGTGATGGAGCTGTATACGCGTTCAAAGCCGGTAGTGGAGAAATTGGAGTCCGCCGTGGACGAGCTAAAGAAGCGGTACATGGATGCGCGCAACAAGACGAAGGAGGCCAACACACCTCCAGCTGTAATCACCGTGGATCGCAACAACGGCTCGCACAATGCGTGGGGTGGCTTTATACAGAGGGCGATTCCACTTCCCTTGCCCTCAGAAAAGTCACCAGAGAAGGATTCACGGTCGCGTTCGCGCTCCAGAACGCGCACTCAGTCGCGGACACCGCGCTCTCGCTCGCCAAGGTCCAGGTCGCCGAGTCGCGAGCGCACCAAGAAGTCCCACCGCAGCCGATCCTCACGCTCGCGCTCCCGATCGCCGCCGAAGCACAAGAAAAAGTCGCGCCACTACTCGAGGTCGCCAACGCGCTCCAGTTCTCCGCACAGCAAGCACAGGAAAACGTAGGTTACTACTTAGTTCTTTGGCTCCCCCTTCGACCTAACAGCTAGAGTAATGAACTCAGAAAGGCCATTGAAAATTAACTTTAAGCATTTGCCCATTTGTCATATTATAATTTTATAATCCTTACAGTAAATCGTCGCGAGAACGTTCTGAATATTACTCCAAAAAAGACCGCTCTGGGAACGCTGGCAGCAGCAACAATGCCAATGATGGAGACAAGTATCGTAACTCTAGCTCGAATTCTGGCAAGCACAGTCGTTACTCCTCACATCGCAATAGCGGTGGCGGTGGAGAAGGAAGGAGTGGAGGAGGAGGTGGCAGCGGCGGCGGCGGAGGAAGCGGGAACCACGGCAGCCGAGGTGCTCATAAGCATCGGGATGGCGATCGCTCCAGAGATCGCAAGCGCTAGGGATTGACAAACACACTCCTTTTCATTTAATTGCTTTGTATTTTACAGATTTACAGATCATTTCTGCCGATTAGTTCGATTTAGTAATTCTAATGTGTAATGTAAAAACTAACTCGGGTAAACAATAAATGTAACTCCTCAATCAAACAGCTGTTCGCCATTTGGGACGAACAAATGCCAATCTTTGGGAAACACTTTGCATATATCACAGCAATCCAACAGAGAAAGAGCATTAGAACGAGAAGGATGGTAGTCAAGGGGCAGCAGTTGAAAACCCCGAACAAGTACATTATCCTCGAGATCCGTGCCATTGCCCTGGGATTAAACATAAAATGTTGAAGCTGGATAAAGAATCGCTGGCTAATCCAGCCTAATATCTCTACTGTAAAACTAAAATGCTTAACTCTATATGGTGGTCGCGTAGGACATCAGGGCGATCGATGGGTGCGACAGAGACACGTCGCGGAACTCCTGCGTAAAGGAGAGGATGAAGAAGCTGAAAATGGTGGCAATGATCCACTCTGAAATAGAGCTGACCACGTGGAAGTACCAGCCGCCGTCCGAGGGATACCTAAAGGGGAGAGTAGAAATTAATTCATGTATGTATATAATTCAAATGTACATATATGAATATTTTGAAGATGTGATTTTGTATACGCACCACTTCCGCGGATTCTGTCCCTTGAACAGGATATGCGACATCACGCCCGTGACTGCCAATAGAATGAACAGTATTGTGCACACCACGGACATTGCTAGACGAAGGTGAGCGTAAATGCGTGTGCCCGACATGGGGAAGATTAGATACGAGATAAGCGCCTGCATCCAAAAGTATAAGGTGCCACAGCCGAAACAGCAAAAAGCTCCTATGAAGTGCACAATCCGTACATTCGTTTCCTGGAAATTGCCTACGAAACTAATGCCCACGCAGGACACCAGTCCAAACCACAGGGCCAAGCGGTTCTGGCGGAGCACCGAGGCGTCCAGGTCCGGATGGTGTTCGTAAAGTTGCAGCACATGGCGATAGCGCACGTAGATAGTAATTCCCACTGTAATGCACGAGGGATTAAATGAGAGAATTTGCAATAATGCTGTCGCATCTAATCAGCAGATGAGTCATCATCTCTGAAGACGGGATGCCGGGAGAGATACTCACGCAGAACGCTGCCTATGTTGATGAGCTGCCCGAACACACAGCTCTCAGGTGAATATGTGGCCGCATCGCTAATGTAGGGAACAGTGGGCACAACATGCCCTTCCAGAACTGCAAAAATGTACCTGAGGAGCGGAAGCAACCATCAGTTAGGCTAGATTGTCAGATAATAGCTAAGAATCGGCCACTATGTACTTACGTGCCAATGAAGGTTACCTGGAAGATCAGGAACGTGGCTACCGGCAGCAGATAAACCCTTGACATCTCGTCGTAGGATGTGGTGAATTTAGTGACGATGCACTGCAGCACTGGCCACAAAAAATGTACGTATCTAATTTAATTGCGCTGCAATATACTAAACATGGGGGTACAATGTTTGGGTCTTTAGCAGTGCTGCTAACTCAGCTGGATTATAGCTGCTGCGTATCCGCTTATTCAGCGAGATCTGATAGTATTTTAAAGCCAATAAGGGGATTCCTGATTTTTTTCACATAATACTTTGATCGGTGATTCCAATTTATTAAAAATACCTATTTAAGTTGTACTATATAATCAGTGTTTCCCATTAAATACCAGAGTTTTAACAATAATGCTATTTAAAAAAACGTGCAAAACATCTTCACCAGCTCGTACAATATATTTTACCGAGGAAAGCAACAATAACAACAAATTAGTACGACAGGGTTATCTGACATTGGAAATAATGTCCGTGCGCCTTCTATTGGCCAAGTTAGAGCTATGAAACTGAAACAAAGCCGGGATCTCTTCTGCCAGAAGGAGGTTTTTTGATTTTTTAACCATTAAATCACCACTCGTACCAAAAGAATTAGAAATATTATGTTAAATGTAGGTATATGGGTTTGAAGTTTTAGTTACAGCCAAATTAACGACTGTTTTATGCTGCTAACGACCAATACTATCCACCCCTATCACTCGTTTTTCGATTTTGGGAAAGTCAATTTTGGCCCAAATTTCGAATTTTTGATAAGGGCTACCATCATACAAATTTTCAAAAATGGGTCAAAAATGAAGTTTCCCAGATTTGAATGAAAACCGATTGGGAATCATAGCAATCAAGTTACGAGCCCTACGAGGTATTACATTGCTCATTTGGACCATTTTTGACTGTGCTATGGCCGAAAAACTGTTTTTTTTGTGCCCGAAGGTATCTTACGTCTTTTGGCAGCAAATAGTTCGGCTTTTCTGCAGTTTCTTAGCTCTAGCTTGGTGAAAACACGGCTAAAACAATGACTGTTTTGTACAGCTAACTACCGGCTCTTAACACCCCTATACTTGCTTTTATCATTATTGCTCTGATTTTTTGGTGCTAGCTCTTTTGGCAGCAGAGAGTTCGGCTTTTCTGCAGTTTATTAGCTTTAGCTTGGTCAAAACAAGACACAATGACTGTTTTGTACAGCTAACTACCGGCACTTAACACCCCTATACTTGCTTATATTAATATTGATCTGATTTTTGGTGCGAGCTCTGTTTTTAGGGCGGGGAACTCAGGAAACCGAATTTAAACAAAATTTGCAACATTATTTTCGGTTATTTAGCTCTAGCTCGGTCAGAACAAGACGCATAGCCAAAAGAACGACTGTTTTGTGCTGCTAACGACCAATACTAACCACCCCTATCATTGGTTTTTAGATTTTGGGAAAATCAATTTTGGCCCAAATTTCGCATTTTTGATAAGGGGTACCATCATCAAAATTTTCAAAAATAGGCCGAAAATGAAGTTTCCCAGATTTGAATGCAAACCAATTGGGAATCATACCAATCAAGTAACGAGCCCTACGAGGTATTACATTCCTCATTTGGACCATTTTTGGCTGTGCTATGGCCGAAAAACTGATTTTTTTTTTGTGCCCGAAAGTATGTTACGACTTTTGGCAGCAAAGAGTTCGGCTTTTCTGCAGTTTCTTAGCTTTAGCTCGGTCAAAACAATTCGCACGGCTAAAACAATGACTGTTTTGTACAGCTGACTACCGGATCTTAACACCCCTATACTTGCTTATATCATTATTGATCTGATTTTTTGGTGCGAGCTCTGTTTTTAGGGCGGGAAACTCACTAAACCGAATTTTAACAGAAATTTTCAACATTATTTTCGGTTATTTAGCTCCAGCTCGGTCAGAACAAGACGCACAGCCAAAAGAAGGACTGTTTTGTGCTGCTAACGACCAATACTAACCACCCCTATCATTGGTTTTTCGATTTTGGGAAAATCAATTTTGGCCCAAATTTCGCATTTTTGATAAGGGGTACCATCATCAAAATTTTCAAAAATGGGCCAAAAATGAAGTTTCCCAGATTTGAATGCAAACCAATTGGGAATCATAGCAATCAAGTTACGAGCCCTACGAGGTATTACATTCCCCATTTGAACCATTTTTGGCTGTGCTATGACCGCAAAACTGATTTTTTTTTTGTGCCCGAAGTTATGTTACGTCGTTTGGCAGCAGAGAGTTCGGTTTTGCTGCGGTTTCTTAGCTCTAGCTCGGTCAAAACAAGACACACGGCTAAAACAATGACTGTTTTGTATAGCTAACTACCGGCTCTTAACACCCCTTTACTTGCTTATGTCATTATTACTCTGATTTTTTGGTGCGAGCTCTGATTTTAGGGCGGAGAACTCAGGAAACTGAATTTTAACAGAAATTTTCAACATTATTTTCGGTTATTTAGCTCTAGCTCGGTCAAAACAAGATGCACAGCCAAAAGAACGACTGTTTTGTGCTGCTAATGACCAATACTAACCACCCCTATCATTGGTTTTTCGATTTTGGAAAAATCAATTTTGGCCCAAATTTCGCATTTTTGATAAGGGGTACCATCATCAAAATTTTCAAAAATGGGCTAAAAATGAAGTTTCCCAGATTTGAATGCAAACCAATTGGGAATCATACCAATCAAGTTACGAGCCCTAGAAGGTATTACATTCCTCATTTGGACCATTTTTGGCTGTGCTATGGCCGAAAAACTGATTTTTTTTGTGCCCGAAAGTATGTTACGACTTTTGGCAGCAAAGAGTTCGGCTTTTCTGCAGTTTCTTAGCTCTAGCTCGGTCAAAACAAGACACACGGCTAAAACAATGACTGTTTTGTACAGCTTACTACCGGCTCTTAACACCCCTATACTTGCTTATATCATTATTGCTCTGATTTTTTGGTGCGAGCTCTTTTGGGAGCAGAGAGTTCGGCTTTTCTGCAGTTTCTAAACTTTAGCTTGGTCAAAACAAGGCGCACGGCTAAAACAATGACTGTTTTGTACAGCTTACTACCGGCTCTTAACACCCCTATACTTGCATTTATCATTATTGCTCTGATTTTTTGGTGCCAGCTCTTTTGGCAGCAAAGAGTTCGGCTTTTCTGCAGTTTCTTAGCTCTAGCTCGGTCAAATCAAGACACACGGCTAAAACAATGACTGTTTTTTACAGGTTTCTACCGGATCTTAACACCCCTATACTTGCTTATATCATTATTGCTCTGGTTTTTTGGTGCGAGCTCTGAATTTAGGGCGGAGAACTCAGGAAACCGAATTTTAACAGAAATTTTCAACATTATTTTCTGTTATTTAGCTCTAGCTCGGTAAAAACAAGACGCACAGCCAAAAGAACGACTGTTTTGTGCTGCTAACGACCAATACTAACCACCCCTATCATTGGTTTTTCGATTTTGGGAAAATCAATTTTGGCCCAAATTTCGCATTTTTGATAAGGGGTACCATCATCAAAATTTTCAAAAATAGGCCAAAAATTAAGTTTCCCAGATTTGAATGCAAACGAATTGGGAATCATACCAATCAAGTTACGAGCCCTACGAGGTATTATATTCCGCATTTGGACCATTTTTGGCTGTGCTATGGCCGAAAAACTGATTTTTTTTTGTGCCCGAAAGTATGTTACGACTCTTGGCAGCAAAGAGTTCGGCTTTTCTGCAGTTTCTTAGCTCTAGCTCGGTCAAAACAAGACACACGGCTAAAACAATGACTGTTTTGTACAGCTAACTACCGGAACTTAACACCCCTATACTTGCTTATATCATTATTGCTCTGATTTTTTGGTGCGAGCTCTTTTGGGAGCAGAGAGTTCGGCTTTTCTGCAGTTTCTAAGCTTTAGCTTGGTCATAACAAGGCGCACGGCTAAAACAATGACTGTTTTGTACAGGTTACTACCGGATCTTAACACCCCTATACCTGCTTTTATTATTATTGCTCTGATTTTTTGATGCGAGCTCTGATTTTAGGGCGGAGAACTCAGGAAACTGAATTTTAACAGAAATTTTCGACATTATTTTCGGTTATTTAGCTCTAGCTCGGTCAAAACAAGATGCACAGCCAAAAGAACGACTGTTTTGTGCTGCTAATGACCAATACTAACCACCCCTATCATTGGTTTTTCGATTTTGGAAAAATCAATTTTGGCCCAAATTTCGCATTTTTGATAAGGGGTACCATCATCAAAATTTTCAAAAATGGGCTAAAAATGAAGTTTCCCAGATTTGAATGCAAACCAATTGGGAATCATACCAATCAAGTTACGAGCCCTAGAAGGTATTACATTCCTCATTTGGACCATTTTTGGCTGTGCTATGGCCGAAAAACTGATATTTTTTTTGTGCCCGAAAGTATGTTACGACTTTTGGCAGCAAAGAGTTCGGCTTTTCTGCAGTTTCTTAGCTCTAGCTCGGTCAAAACAAGACACACGGCTAAAACAAAGACTGTTTTGTACAGCTAACTACCGGATCTTAACACCCCTATACTGGCTTATATCATTATTGCTCTGATTTTTTGGTGCGAGCTCTTTTGGGAGCAGAGAGTTCGGCTTTTCTGCAGTTTCTAAACTTTAGCTTGGTCAAAACAAGGCGCACGGCTAAAACAATGACTGTTTTGTACAGGTTACTACCGGATCTTAACACCCCTATACCTGCTTTTATTATTATTGCTCTGATTTTTTGATGCGAGCTCTGATTTTAGGGCGGAGAACTCAGGAAACCGAATTTTAACAGAAATTTTCAACATTATTTTCGGTTATTTAGCTCTAGCTCGGTCAAAACAAGATGCACAGCCAAAAGAACGACTGTTTTGTGCTGCTAATGACCAATACTAACCACCCCTATCATTGGTTTTTCGATTTTGGAAAAATCAACTTTGGCCCAAATTTCGCATTTTTGATAAGGGGTACCATCATCAAAATTTTCAAAAATGGGCCAAAAATGAAGTTTCCCAGATTTGAATGCAAACCAATTGGGAATCATACCAATCAAGTTACGAGCCCTAGAAGGTATTACATTCCTCATTTGGACCATTTTTGGCTGTGCTATGGCCGAAAAACTGATTTTTTTTTTGTGCCCGAAAGTATGTTACGACTTTTGGCAGCAAAGAGTTCGGCTTTTCTGCAGTTTCTTA